TTTACTTCAAATTTTATACGATTATTACTCACAGCTCGGGTCAACATATAGGCTACATATTATCACGCTATCACCTGTTGGTTATGCGCAGTAAATCACTATTCCATGCAAATGAAGTCGCGGGCACAGCTAGTGATAAATAAATCAATGCAAAGAAATTATTATAAATATTTACCTTGGCTTATTGTTTCGGTCTCCCCTGTACTGGCATCGTCATTTCGTACGTAGTCCACTGTAATTCAACAAAAATATAAATAACATTTATCTTGTATGATATTGTATTTCATTTTAGTAAGTTCCTCATATAATTTTTCAAGTGTTTCCTGTAAATAATTATCTTGACTCGTCATCATCAACAGCCTATATGTACTCAATGCTGAGCTTAGCCTCTTCTCACACTGAGAAGGTTCGAACATTATTCACCACGCTTACTCATTGTACATCGGTGATTTCAAACTTAAAATTAGAATTATAAGCCCAGCTTCCCTCACGATGTTTTCCTGCACCGTTTTCAGAGGTGTCTAACCTTAGAAAGTACATATAAATCGGAAAAAGACACGTTGGTACTTGCCGTTGGTAGATTTCAAACCCGCACCCTCACATGAGAAGCGGGCGCCAAAAGCAAGCTAGTCTAGGCTAGTTTTTATTTATTTATTTATTTTAAGACTTAGTACAATAACAAATGTACAGGCGGACTAAATGCCTTGGGCATTGTCTCGCAGTCGACCTTAAGGTGGTGCAGAGATGAAAGTGACTAAGCAAATGTTGTAAATAAATAACTATATATAAATACTTAGATACTATATATACAGTCATACATATTTATGTACACATACATCCAATACTTATATCATATAATAGTACTATATACATACATACATACCCAGGTAAAAACTAAATAACATAATAAGAGACAACTTATTTTTGAATCGAAACCGCCAGTTGTTTTCGCCAGTTTTTTAATACATTGATATTTACTAGAATAGTAACGCTTATACTTACTGATTTCCCTATAACTTAATCGTTTGTGAGAATAAACGATCTTTACGCTTAATACCATGAGAATCTGAAAAATACAAAAAAAATGTTTTCATTAAAAAACAGACTGACGGACTGCCTTGTTGGCTGAGTGGGGTCAAGTGCAGCTGCCGGACAAGGGGTTTCGGGTTCGATTCCCGGGTCGGGCGAAGTATTACTGGGTTTTTAAACATTTTCCAGGCACATAGTCTGGAATTGTACCTGGTATATGGCAATTGGCTCACCCCCTATTACATAGGACGTATAACATAAATAAAAAGTGGTTGTTACACAGTGACATTAAATTCCGTAATGTGCACCTCTACCTACTTCTCCGGGGATAAAAGGCGTGATGTTATGTATGGTATGTTAAAAAACAGAAAAAAATATAATTCAATGTTCTCATATACACTAATATGAAAATACACACTCACAAATGAAAATAAATATAGTTGAAAGGACATTACAACAATCAATGTTTACGTTGATGGCACGACCAGCCGCAGTCAATGGTTGAATGGCACATTTATTGATTGAACTTAATCACGATTGAACGCATTTAATTAATTAAGACCATACGATAATTGTCAAACAATTTGAGATAATTAAGTATGGTTTTGATTGAAAACGGTTATTTTTAAGGGGAGAAAATCATCGAATGTTTGCTCCCGCCTGGGTGAGGCGGGAGGAAGTGTCAGACTCTTACTGACTAAAAACCACCCCGTTCCTTCTCCTGCACGTCGTTGAGCCCCGGTTACCCGTTAGGTTATCCGCGACTCCGAATCACATCGGCCCCATTGGGCCCCATCTGTGGTGGTCTGATGGCTCTTTGAGGCGCGCGCGGAACGCGACGCGCCGTACGCTCGGGTCTGTTTCTGGTCGGATGGGGAGCCACCCATGCTCGCCGTCCGCAGGCCCGCGCTTACGGTGGCCGGAGATCGTCCCGCGATCCCCGACGCCCGGTGTGTCCTTCGCGATGGCTGGGTTGCGAGGAGGCAGCGCTTCGCTGCCTCACGCGTCCCGCCTCCTCCTTAGCTAGCATGACTGCTTCGCAAAAGGAGGAGACGGCATCCCA